GAGGTGTGTGGCACTTGGGGAGGTGGTGACTGTCCTAGAGGAGTGGGCAATGGGGAGATGACTGGGTGTGTGACTGCTTGGAGGAGATGTGGCACTTGGGAAGGTGGTGACTGTCCTAGAGGAGTGGGCAATGGGAGGTGACTGGGTATGTGACTGCTTGGAGGAGTTGTGTGGCACTTGGGGAGGTGGTGACTGTCCTAGAGGGGTGGGCAATGGGGAGGTGACTGGGTGTATGACTGTAGGGAGGAGGTGTGTGGCACTTGGGAAGTAGTGACTGTCCTAGAGGTATGGGCAATAGTGAGGTGCCTGGGTGTGTGACTGCTTGGAGGAGGTGTGTGGCACTTGGGAAAGTGGTGACTGTCCTAGAGGTGTGGGCAATGGGAGGTGCCTGGGTGTGTGACTGTGGGGAGGAGGTGTGTGGCAGTTGGGGAGCAGTGACTGTCCTAGAGGTGTGGGCGATGGGGAGGTGACTGGGTGTGTGACTGCTTGGAGGAGATGTGGCACTTGGGGAGGTGGTGACTGTCCTAAAAGTGTGGGCAATGTGGAGGTGACTGGGTGTGTGACTGCAGGGAGGAGGTGTGTGGCACTTGGGGAGGTGGTGACTGTCCTAGAGGAGTGGACAATGGGAGGTGACTGGGTATGTGACTTCAAGGAGGAGGTGTGTGGCACTTGGGGAGTAGTGACTGTCCTAGAGGTGTGGGCAATGGGGAGGTGACTGGGTATGTGAGTGCTTGGAGGAGAACTGGTGCTTGAGGAGGTGGTGACTGTCCTAGAGGAGTGGGCAGTGGGGATGTGACTGGGTGTGTGATTACATGGAGGAGGTATGTGGCACTTGGGGAGTTGGTGACTCTTCTAGAGGAGTGGGCAATGGGAGGTGACTGGGTGTGTGAGTTCGTGGAGGAGGTGTGGCCTTTGGGGAGGTGGTGACTGTCCTAGAGGAGTGGGCAATGGGAGGTGGCTGGGTGTGTGACTGCACGAGTTTTGTGTTGTATCCTAACCAGTTCTTTGGTTTTTGTTTTCCCAGACAGTGGGAATTTTGAAGTCTAATAGGTGGTTTGATTCATGCAGCAGTAGGGTTCTTTCCCCTATTGTCTCTCTGTGTTCTCCTGCCCCTCTGTGTGCCTGTGGTGGTGTGGATTTATTGTCCTTCTAGAGTCTTCAGATGTCTTCAAAATGAGGTGTCTCTTCAGTGCTGCTCCAGTGATACAGTTGCCCTCCCTCGCTAGTTCCTGTTGTGGGCCTGGGTGTAGGAAATCTTTGTGACACTCTTCTGGCCACAGCATGTTAGTATTTATTGAGTCTCTGTTGAAGGAACATAGGAAAGAGACGGTCACAGGGATCCTGTGTTGGGCATGACACAGGGTTTCCATCTCAGTTATTTTTCACTTCTTGGGAGGACTCTCTGGAGGATATGGAGGGTATGCTCTAGGAAGTCAATCTTCATTTCTTCCCTTCCTTCCTGTCCATTGTTTCAATGAACTCAGGACCTCCTGCGTAGTAGGCAAGCATTCCTCCACTGAGCTGCACTCTCAGCCCCACTCCTCACATCCAGTGGCTTGGTGTGCGCACCTTGCAGGGTGGCTATGGGGGCCAGTCCTGGCGGGTACCATTGCAGAAAGCATGTACTGAGTCTCAGTAGGAAAGATAGCCTAAGAGTTGCTGGGACTCAGTAGTGTTCCTGACCTCAGGCTGGGGTGAAGCTTTCCTCAAACTGTCATCTTCATGTGCTGCTGTTGTGTGTCTGTCTTCTTTGTTTTTACTGCTTGGAGCTGGAATGAGCTGAGGCAGTAGGGGTGGAAACCATGACTCGCCCTGGGTGCAGTCTGGTGGAGGCGCGCTGTGTGCATACAGCCACATGGGGGCAGTGTCGCAGTGTCGCAGCCAGTCCTCTGGTTCCTGGGGTGAAGTTTTCCAGAGAACTGTAGTGATGTTTCAGGCAGATGGGGAGTGGCAGTGCTCACTTCAGGAGCAGAGCCAGGGGAATGGGAAGACAGGACAGCATCTGCCTCAGGGAAGTGTAGTTGTAGATTGCTGTTTTTCTGCTTAGAATCCTCAAAATTGCCTTTAGAATTTAGAATAGTTTCTAGTTTGCAGGAAAAGATCTGAAGATAGTACAGGCCAAGTATCCCTTATCTGAAAGCTAAGGACCACAGATGTTTTGGATTTTGAATTTTTCAGATTTTGGGATATTTGCATAGATAGTGAGATATCTTGAGGCCAGGACCCCAGTCAACATGGAATTCATTCATGTTTTACATAAACATTATACACACAGCCCGAGGGTAATTTTATACAATATTTTTCATAGATTTTGCACAAGAAACAAATTTTCTTGCTGTGAGATTTTTCTGCTTGTGTCATCTTTGTGCTCGGAGTGATTGGATTCTGGGGTTTTGGGTTAGGGATATTCACTCTCAATCTGTGCAGAATTCTTTATCCCCCATTTCTTTGTCTGTGCCATTGTTAGGTGCCTCCTCATTACAACCAGGGAGCACCCATAGGTGTTTCCCACTACAGTTCAGGACACTGGACACCCTTGTCTCTATCTGAAATCCTCTTCTGTCTCTAGAGCCTCCTAGCCTGTGATCCTAGGCTTTCTGGGCTTCCCCGCTCTGATGATGCCTCAGAGTCCTCCCCGGTGCTCYTAACAGCCTCTGGTAGGACTGGCAAGGTTCCTGCTAGAGTCTATGTCATGTGTTTTTGTGGTTTGCCTGGGGTGTGGTTTGGAAGGCAGCCACACAATGAGGTGCCCTCCTCTCACATCCCATGACTTAGCTTGTACAGCATTTTCTATGGATCATTTGTTAGCAGATTCTGTTGTAGCTACTTGCTGCTAACACCTGCTCAGAGAGGTTTCCCAGAACCAGGATCAAGTAAGCTCCCAGAACTTTTCCTATCCACAGCACTTGTGCCTGTGGTCACTCATGGTGTCCTCAGAACCAGGCAGGCCAGGCAGCAGGAGGCACAGTGGTGGACTGCTGACTATGTCTTTGCAGGGTCAGTTGCTCCTGGCTGGCTTCCTAGGCAGAGGAGTTCTGGCTTCAGTTGAGGGGATGCAGGCACTGTGCTATACATGACAGAGCCCTGGGGTCCCAGGTCAGGATCTTTGGGGATGCAAGCACTTTGTTCTGCATCAAAGAGCTTTTGGGGGTCTCAGGACAGGGTCCTTGGAGACATAGGCTGTACAACATGCATGACAGAGTTCTTAAGTATCCCAAGATGGGGTCCTGAGGAATGAAAGCATGTGCTGTGCATGAAGTGCTCTTGCGTGACCCAAAGCCTGTTGGAGCTTCTCAGTCCTGGTCCACCGACTCCCTTGGAGACTGCCGTGCCTGATTCTGCCATACTTTTTCATCACTTTGAAAATACAAGTGTCTGTTGGGGTCCCACGAACTGCTGTCTCCTTGTGTTTCAGCTTCCTGTGCTGTCCTTCCCACACGGATGGATGTGCACCTTCACATTTTGTGTTCCTCTGACCCATGTCTCTCAGAGCTTTCCATGTCCCATCCCACATAGCCTGGGTAGAGGGGCATTTCCCCGGGTGCAGATGAGACCAAGGCCTGGGCCCAGGGGAAGGTCTGCCCAGATAGCGTGCTGGCAGGTTTCCCTCTGAGCCTATGCAGAGGTACAGCTCTGTGTCACATCTGCAAGGGAAGTCCCCACGCTACAGCTGAGCCTTTGATGCATGAGGAGGGGACTTCCTGCCACCTGGTACAGTGCAGAGGCCATTGCTGGGGCCAGTGTCTGTGTTCCCTCTTCCAGCATGACCTCGCTTAGGACCTTCTCAGGCCTCCTTATTCCAAGAAGGTACAGTTGTCTTTTTTCCCCTTTTTGGCAGAGCCATTTTTACTATTTTTATTTAACTGAGATATTAATGACTGAAGAGATAGCAACAGGACCACCATACTTTTCCTCAGATATTTTAAAACACTGCATGACTGAGTCAGCAACCAGCCCTGAAGATAGAGCCTGTGACTTAGCTGAGTCCCAACTGACCCTGCGGCTCAGAGAAAATATCCCCATGCCCTTCATGCACCTGTGGGTAATTAGTTATATCAGGAAGAACATTCCTGCTTCAGCCTTCTGGTTGCTGAAGCAGTCTTGGCTGTTGGAATTCAGTCAGTCAGTATCTCCCTATAGCCTTGGGTGTTGAATGAAAACCCAGTCACATCTCAGCAGCACCAGGGCTCCACTGCCCAGAGCATGTGCTGGAGCTGGGACCCCACATGAAAGGCTCTTAGGAGAGCTCATACTAACCCAGGGCCACCAAGGCTGTGGACAGAGATGCAAGGACTGTAGAACAGTGCATGGCTCAGTGCAAGCCAGCTGAAGGGGTCTGCACTGCCCTAGACACCTGAGCAGAAAATAGGGGATCCTCTGAGTCTGGGATGGGTTCTTCCTCTAGCCCACCTGGCAGAGCCTTTTCATGCTGCAGTCTTGTCCCCAGCCCTGCTATCCTCTGCTTAAGCTGATGACAGCTGTGAGACACATCTTTTGTGTCTGTCCTATTGTCCAACCTCATTAGCTGCCCACCTTGCTAGCTGCTGCAGGGCAGTGCCTGGATGTTTTCTTGCAGAGAAGTGCTAATTAGCAGGGCCCTGAAGCTACTGGGGAGCTTTGCAGATAGCATCTGCAACATTATCACTTGGCAAATACTCTTCTTTTTTTTTTTTGTAGTTGTTTAAGAACAGAATAGGAAAGCACCAATCCAAGTGATATATCCTAAAGGTGCTATTTTGTGAGACCTGTCCACTCAGACATGCAGAGTGGTCATTAGTTAATAGCCCTGACTTTCTAGAGTGTGCCTCTCACCTCCCTTGGCTCCACGCCCATGTTCTCCTGCATGCCTGTTCTAACCCCAGCCACATTCATCCTGGTCGGGAAGCCAATTGTGCTTAGTCTGGCACTCTCAGGGGAGGTTACCTTGAAAGATTATTTTAAGAGGTAATGAGACTGGAGGAGATTTTGTGTGTGTGTGCTGGAGGTGCCTAGTGTCTTTCCTGGAGAGGACAGTGAAGTGCAGTTTGTTGGAAAGTATTGAGCCTAACCCATTTTGTTCCTGCCTTTCATGCCCAACAAGGCACCCTCTTCCCATGTGCTTTCTTTCCTGTTCTTTTCTGATATGTATAGCAATGGCTTCCAGGCTGCTGTATCTTGTCTAGCTCAGAGGAAGACATGAAGGTCACAGGTCCCTCCTGTACCAAAGGAAAGGGCTGCTTAGCCAGCGCTGTTTCCTCCCACTTGGCCAACTGCTCCATATCTGGGGTGGCTTGAACTATGGAGAATAACAAAGATCGGACTTCAATTGCAGCTCTTATCTGGCCTGTGAAGTGCTGGGGTTGCAGTTGGAGCTATTCTCTAAATAAAGGACAAGTGACACCCCTATGAGCAGCCACCGGAGCCACACTTCATGGGGACTTTCACACTGTTTATGGCGCACCTCCCTGACTTTATTGAGATTGCCCAATGTGCAGGTGTTCTGTGAGTCCCGCAGCTCATGGTACCCCAAACCTCAGAGATGCCACATCTTGCCAAGCCCGGCCACAGGGCAGCTCTGACTCACCCTCTACCTCCGCACAACCTTACATGCGGTTTCAGTTGGCTCTGATAGCTGGTCATTTCCTGTGCTCTCTGGAACCACTTGCTCTGTGGAATATCCCAGATGTCCCTGAAGTTTCCTGGTGATGTGTTTTATGTACACTTCACCAGGTTTCAAAGGTTCTTGTGTTTTAGACTCCAWATCTTCAGTCTTTACTCAAAGAAAAAAATAAGTTGGCCAGGCACAGTGGTACACACCTGTAATCCCAGCAACTTGGGAGGCTGAGGCAGGAGGATCACAAGTTCAAAGCCAGCCTCAGCAACTTAGCAAGGCTCTAAGCAACTCAGTGAGACCCTGTCTCTACTTTTTAAACTCAAGTAATGTCATTAATCCATATGTGGACTAGTGATGAATAGATATTTTCATAAGAGTTTAAATGCTGATATTTGGTGGAAGTAGAGAATAACTCATATTCTATCAATTCAAGTACTCTTGGTATGGTTGCACTCCCTATTTGTTTAATAGACTGGTAATACTGGAATCTATGAAGTTTTAAACCTTTACAATTTATGTGAAGAAGTGTTTCAAACATTTCAGGACAAATCTTATTTTGTATTTCTGGAAGAATGTAAATAATCTTCTAGGCCACATAAAACCAATGGTCCCAAGTTGAATATCCTTGAGAAACTTGTTTCCTGTTAGGCCATTTGACATTTCAAATCAATGATCACATTCCTGTAATGTGTAAAACAACTACATTAAGCTTGTGATAGAAACTGTATTTTCTTGCTTTATGGAGTATAATTCATACACATCTAATTACTTGAATATTATTTGAGATCACTAACATGCCAGGGCAATTCCCACTTATTTAGATGGTCCAATATAATCTCATTCAGGAGGCTTGAAACATTAATGGTTTAGTCTTGTGAATTTTAACAGTTCTCTGTCAACGTTTAATCAAACCAACAATTGGCACAACTTCTTAACCTGTGGTTTCAGTCTCTGCTAGTTCATACTGCATGTTTATTTTGGACAGTCTTTTGTTAAGCATGGTGCTTGTACTGGTTTAAATAAAACATTAACATGAAAGTAAAAAAAAAATATATAAAATATAAAAATGGGGCTGGAGATACGGCTCAATGGTCAAGTGCTTTGGGTTCAATCCCTGGTACCAAAAAAGAAAAATTGATCACTCTTGGATAAATGACCTTTCTTTAGAGATAGTTACAGAATTAGTCCCTGAGTATCTCATGAGTATGATACCAAACAGTGGTCTTGGGTTGGGCGCTCAGCTCAGCAGAAGTGTGGGGATGGATACTTGTAACGTGCTTGGACACACGCCACCAGGCCAAAGTGCTGGGGTAGTCTTCAGTGTTCCTCTGTAAGGCTCTGAATGCTTGTGTGTGGTTTGTGTCTTCTGAAAGATGTCACCACTGACCTCAGTTTTCCATTCCAGCACCCAGGCTGAGGGGCTGTACCACACAGCGGGAGCTGCCTGCAGGAGGCCAGGAAGGCGGGCAACTGCAGCTGCAGAGGGATCAGCCACTTCTCTCTGAGAGGGAAACCCAGGAGTTGACACAGGTAAAGGCTCCCCAAGTGCCCTGTTAGGCTGGTGGCATTTCTGTCCTCCCTGCAAACTCTTCTTCTCTCTCCTGCCTGAAGACAGGGTCTCTGTTCATTTGCACTGGTTGCTGCTTCTGGGGCCCACTCAATCTATGCGCCTCGTGGCATGTAGATTTGCACACCATGCCAGCCTGCTCCTATGCAGACAGTTGCCCTGGCAGCTCTCCACCACTGTGTGTATGAGTGTGTATTGCGTGTGAATCATGCATATGTGCACAGTGCATGTGTGCCGGGCTTGTACATGTGTGTGCACCCTATCGTGTTTGTACAGACACTGTGCACATATGTGTGTGCTAGGCATATACTGCACTGTACACGTGTGGTCCATGCACTCCGGCTTACTCAGGTTTTGTACTTAGCATTGGGTTCTGAAGAAGGCTTACCACTTTTCTCCAGAAATTGAAATTTGAATATTTGATGTAAATACCTTTTAACCTGTCTTCCTACAGTTTTGCTGGACAATGTAATGGCTTTTTCTTTCCCTGATAGTTTTAGTAGTAGTACCTTGTTGTCATATCACTGAAATATTTATTTCAATATGTATCTTTAAAAGATAAGAGCTGTTAAAAGATAACCATGATACCATTCATATCTTTAAAAATGAATAGAGTTCCTCTGTATCACGACTGCTGAGTTGCTGTCATGTGTCTCAGTCCTCCCGTGACAGTGCATGTCACTTGTGTGCCCAGACCAGGGCCTCTACCTACCTCAGCATTGGGGGGTGCAGTATATCTCATGGGGGCTGTCCACTTCCATTAGGAGTTAACCTGTGCTTCAAAACAAATTCTCATTTTATTTGTCTACATAGGCACAAACTTTTTTTTTTTAAAGAGAGAGTGAGAGAGGAGAGAGAGAGAGAGAGAATTTTTAATATTTATTTTTTAGTTCTCGGCAGACACAACATCTTTGTTGGTATGTGGTGCTGAGGATCGAACCCGGGCCGCACGCATGCCAGACGAGCGCGCTACCGCCTGAGCCACATTCCCAGCCCAGGCACAAACTTTTGAGTTCAGCTTTTTCCTCTGTGATGCAGGGGAGAAAAGCATTCATCCTTTTTAAAAAAAAAAAAAAAAGACAGAATTTTTTAATAACTTTTTATTTATTTTTTATGTGGTGCTGAGGATGGAGCCCAGTGCCTCACATGTTGTAGACAAGTGCTGTGCCGCTGAGCCCCAGCCCAGCATTCATTTTTGTTATGGGATACATGACTTATCACTTTTTCCTCCTGGTCTAACTTGGGTCATTTTCAGACATGGCACTCAGACACGCTGTTGCTAGTTGTAACTAGTCCACTCAGCAGGCCACCCCACTGGTCACACTGACAGCTGAACTCACTGGGTAAAGGTCAGATTTGTGTGTTTTGAGAAACTAGTGTGTCAAGGCCTGTGCACCCAAGTTTCCCCCATCATTCTCCTGAGAGCTTATAACAGCATGCGAGCTTTGGGTGGGTAGGGTCTGAGGATGCTCCCATGCCTACCCCGTCATGGTGTTGTGTCCCACAGTTGTGTTCAGGTTGAAGTAGACCATACTTGGGATGAAAAGAACAGATTTACCTATTAATTCTGATGGTGGCTATGTAGTTTGAGAGGACCCTTCCTGTTTACAAATGTCCCATCTACCAACCTGTCCCATGGACCCCAAAGCAGAGGATGGGATAGGACATATCAGGATGAGCGTGCAGAAGGCTGAGGGCAAGGTGGGGCTCCTAGTGACTGAGCTGGGAACAGTGGAACCCTGTGTCAGAGCTCTTGTTCAGGGCACAAGGTCAGAGATGGAGGGAGAGGGTCAGTGGTCCTGTGGCCTGGCAGGGAGGGCTCAGGTAGAGCTGCAGAAGCAGGGAGGAGGCTGATGAAGGCTGTGTGCTGGTCAGGAGGAAGGCCTGGTTTCATGTGAGATGGTCTTTTGGAGGTGAAACAGATGTTTCAGATTTAGAGAGGAATTCTTAGCTGTGTAGTTGGAGCTCATGCATAAGTAGGAATGAGTTAAGTTTCTGGGGTAAACAAAAATGCAGGAAACCATCCTCCATCCAGCTGTGGTTGTGGTTGCAGATGCCATTAAGGCATTACATGGAGACGTGTCCGGAGATTTAAATTGCAGTTAGGGGTACTGTGGGGAGGTGGCCAGAATTCCACAGGGACAGGAATGGGCTTTGTGGGTACCCAGTCTGCAGGCCCCTGAGGTCTATAGCCATCATCTGTCACGTCACTGTGGCAAGGAAGGATGAGCCCAGGAGGCCAGAGGGCAGCCAATCCCATGGTGGGCTTGGCAGAGCCCCTCGACTAGCCGCAGAGTCTGTGTCCCCTCAGAACTGCTGCTGTGCTGGGTTGACAGGATCTGCAGAGGCCACATCATTGATGCAGGGTTTGGAAGTGGTAAAACAAAACGTGGCTCTTGGCTGTCCCCAAAGCAGGGCATTTCAGATTCACAAGAGGTTGCTTCATGTTCGTTTCTCTGTCCTGTCCTATCCTGTGTCTGGAGTTTCTTCATTCCACCTCCTGTTTCACTGGGAAGCAGCAGTGGAAATGGAGAGGGTGGAATCCATGGGGTGCAAGAGCAGCAGGGTGTGTTGAAGGGTTGCATCAGAAGACGGAGGCCCTTATGTGTAGCACCCTACATGTCACTGTGATAAGAAAGCACAGGGGCCCCTCAGAGGTGGGGGCACAGGAAGTATCTGGTCATGTCTGAACTCTCATCCTATGTGAGGACACTTTATCTGTCTGCTGTATGTGATATTATCACAGTAAACACAAGACACAAAAAAGAAAAGCAGCTTGATTTACTCAATCTAACAAAAAAAAAAGTCTTGTGATTTCAGTGAAGAGCAAAGACAGCTGGTGGGTAGGGTTGTGAGGAGGAGAATGTGTGGCCCTGTCAGGTTCGTGCAGGCCCGTGGGCGGCTCCAGACCTGGGAGGACACAGTGTTCCTGTCGTGGTGTTTGCACCTGTGGAAACCCTCTGCATTCTCAGCCCAGCCCCAAGTGGGCTTGCCTTAGTAGTTTACTGGAGCTTTCTGGGGTTTTCTACACTGACTGTGGACGATCTTAAGAAATTCGTGTGCTTCTGTCTTTGCGTTTTCTTTCCTTTCAAAAAATTATGGAACACATTTAATCATCTTCAGTACCTACCTACCTACTGTGCCTGGTGCCCTGGCTTTAAACCTGCCTCAGTCCTTCTGTGTACACTCCCCATTGGAGAAACATCACTCAGCTTTTCCTGTATACTTTGTCTATGTTAGATGATCACAGTCAATGGTGTCCCTGAGCCTGAGGTAAACGTAAAGACCAGTGAGTTATGATCCTGGCTTCCATGCACTCACTGTCTGCATAGAGATGACAGCCTGTTTCTCTGTATGACTGTCAGTGTAGGCTGCAAAGGAGCCGGTATGTGTCCTGGAAGAAGTCGCACTGCCTCAGGCAGGACAGCCAGGCTGACCTCCAGGGAAGCGGGCTCTGCTCTGCGAGCGTTAGGGTGGAGGAGATGCAGAGTATGTGCTGGCACACTGCGGGGTTTGCCTCCTCTCCTTGGCTTCCTCACACTGCTGCAGCTTTGCTCTGAAGGCTTTCCAGACCATCCATTCTTTCCCTCGTTACAGGGCATAGCCAGACATCGGCTTTGGGGGTGAGAAGGGCAGTTAATGTCGTTCTTATAGACAGCTTTGATTTCAATCCAGATGTTAGTTGCTGAACTTAGCTACATATCTCAGCCACGAGTTGAGCATCCCTAATCCAGAAATCTGAAGTGATCCCAAATCCAAATCCTTTAGAGCACCAATATGATGACGCCACAGGTAGAAAATTCCATACCTGACCTCACAGGATGGGTCACAATCCAAATGCAGGTACACTAAAAACATTAATAAGATCACCTTCAGGTTCAGTGTATAAGGTATGCATGAAACAGAAACAAATTTTACATTTGGATTTGGGTCCCATCCCCAAGATATCTCATTATAATGTCTATTCAATTATTCTAAAATTAAAAATGCTTCTGGTCCTGTGCAGGGGAGGACCTACATGTACTTTAATTGTTAAGTGCTCCTGACAACATGGCCTATGACTTCTCTGAATGGCTTTCAATAATGGCTATTGGTCTGTTATAGCATGTGTCATTGCTTTATTTTGCTATATAACTTTGGATAGCTTCATTTTGCTTATCCATTCATTTGTTGATGGACAGTTGGATTGTTTCCAACTTTGGGTTACTGTGAATAGTGCTATGTGAATATTCACATATAAGAAGCAATTAGGTCCTGACTTCCAGCTCTCCTGGGTGTGGAAGTGAGATCCCTGGCTCACATGGTAACTCTAGGCTTAGCTTTTTGGTGAACCACCATACTTCACAACAGCTGCAACACTTTGCCTTGCTAACAGCAGCGTATGAGAATTCCAGTTTTGTACATCCTCACCAACACTTACTTTAATTTAAAAAAAAAAAGCCATCCTTGTAGGTATAAAATGGTATCTCATTGTGGTTTGCTTGTTTGTTTGATTCTTGTTTGGAGCACTGTGGATTGAACCCAGAGGTGCTCTATCACTGAGCCACGTCCCCAGCTGTTTTCATTTTATTTTGAGACGGAGTCTTTCCAAGTTGCAGAGTCTGGCCTGGAACTTGTGATCCTCTTGCCTCAGCCTCCTGAGGTGTGTGCCGTCGTCATTCCCAGCACTATTCTATTAAAGTTTTAGTTTATAAAGGGTGCAGATAGGAGCAGCCAAATGAAGAGACACAGTGAGGTTCCAGGGGATCCCAAGTGTGGAGCCTCTGTGCCGTCTCCCATGGAGCCAGCACATCACCCTCCAGTCACATCAGCGTGGCACCAACCAAGACACTCCATTGGGCTTCAAGGTCCAGAATCTTTACTGGGACTTCATTGTGGGACATCATTGATTGAATCATCAGTTCCATGCCTGAACTGAATCCCTAGCCCCGATCCTTTCCAGGAGATAGGGGCTGTGGGCCAC